TAAATTGGCTGATTTTGGTACCATTGAGCTCCACATGTGCATTTCATATGTTCATTGGTTTTTAAAGAAAGTGGTGGGGCACCTGGGTGGCTCATTTGTTAAGCATCTGCCTTTGACTCAGGTCATGATCCCAGGGTCCTGGAATCGAGCCCTGCATCAGGCTCCCTGCTCCGTGGGAAGCCTGCTTCTCCCCCTCTCACTCCCCCTGCTTGTGTTCCCTCTCCCACTGTGTCTCTCTCTGTCAAATAAATAGATAAAATCTTTAAAAAAAAAAGTGGTGGGCTATGTCACAGCATTACCTGTATGCCTCGTTTTAAGCAAGCTGAGTACATAAATGTAAAGATCCTACAAAAACTTGGGGGTGATAGTTTGTAAAAGGATTTACTTACAAGATTTTTAAAAAAAAATTCTTGCTGCTTTGGGGCACCTGGGTGGCACAGTTCGTTAAGTGTTCGGCTCTTGGTTTTGGCTCAGGTCCTGATCTCAGGGTTGTGAGATCAAGCCCCATGTCAGGCTCTGTGCTCAGTGCAGGGTCTGCTTGAGACTCTCTCCCTCTGCCACTTCTCTCTCTCTCTAAAATAAACCTTAAATAAAATAAAAACATTCTTGCTGCTTTAAAGCAGGATTTGAAGGAGCAACCAGTGAAAACACCACTCACTCTATGAGATGAGGGTTTGGGTCTGTGCTCCCCAGGACTAGCTCAGTTCTTACAAAGCCTGGGGCCCTGGACCTGTAGGTTCTTTCCATGGTGGAACTAGCTGCAGTTATGGGTGCACCAAGGGAGGTTCAAAGTGCATCAGGCCCTAAGACAGCTAGTTATTCCTTGGGTTTATTTGACTAGAGAGCAATGGGTGAGGCTTTAAATAAAATACTTTGTAAATGTTTTACGATGACATGTTAAAAATGCAATGGATTGAAAGTAAAGAGACAGAGTTTGGTCTCCCAACACGTCAGGATCTCTGTGGGTGAGGGAAATCAGTGCTCATGGTTTGAGAGTTGGGAGAGAAGAGGAGAGAGTTTATGCTTTCCTGCCCTTTGAGTTTGGCGAATGAGTGATTTCTTTGTAATTCTTTTTTTTTTTTTTTTGTATGTGTTTTGAGAAAGAAGTTACTTTTTTGGCTAGAGATAGTACATAAATGGAGTTCCCCGGACCAGTTCTGTGTGAGACCAGCAGAGGTCAGTAAACACTGGTCTTTTGAGGAACTTATCTGGTAAGTTGACCAATGTAGTTTTGGACAGCTGTTCCAAGCTGGTCTCTTCTGAAACCCATGTTGGGAGGAAGGACCAAATCAAAGAGGCTGTGAGCTCCCAGGGGTCAAGGACCATCTCCGTCTGATTGTCACCATTCAGTTTGTTGAGCTGACCTAACATATGGCACTTCACATTTTGACATTGATTATACTTAATTCTATGAGATGTTACTGTCTCTGTTTTACAGATGAAGATAATGATGCACAGAGATCAAGGTGCCACCCAACTGGTGAGTGGCAGAGCCAGAATTCAAGGTCAGGTCTCCTGATTTCTGATCCCTGGCCACCTTTTCAGCTGGATTTTTTCCACATGAAGTATGTGATAGTTCTTATTGTTCAGACTTTTAGTTCTTGGCTTATATTTTCTGGCCATTCCTAAGTGTTGCTATTCTGTTTTTATTGAGGAAGTCAGAAAAAACCTTGAGGTGGAAAAAACCATTCAGGGGTTTCCTAAGAAATAGTGTTGTTCAGTATGATACTTAAAAAGGGATCAAATTTGGTAGACTTTCAGCATAATCATGTTATCCTTAGAGCAGAATTCAGAATGAAATTGATCTCATATCAACCAACTTTCTTTTTAAAAAATTTTAAAACAAAACAGCAAAACCTTGTAAGTTGATCCCATAGCCTAGATGGTATTATAAGGATCATCCTGTGCATGTCTCTGCTGAAAGGGAGAGGAACCACAGCTGGGCCTCATGTCTTCGTGGTGTTCAGTTAATCACCCTATTTAGGTTTCACAAGAAGCCACCATTTATCTTTCCATAAGTGAGAAAAATGTGTTCAAAGTGAAATGACTGCCCAAAGTCACACTGTAAGTAGCAAACCACCCATGGATCCAGAGTCCATTCTTTCTGCCTCCAAAGCTTTCAGTTATGCTGTGGTGTTTTCTGGGTGAAATACCAGGATTTAAATAGATGCTTAGAGTTTTTACATTAATCCGTAGTTGTTCTTGGACCTTGTTTAAACTTGTACCATCTGAAGTGAACACCTGTGTCCATTCTTTTCCAGGTTTTGCTGTTATCACTCAAGATACCATACCTTGAATAATACATGGAAGACCTCAGGACACTGATAAGGCTAATATCCTAATGAAGGGTCTCAGAGGGTCATGGCTGGGGAAGGGCTGGGATTCAGCCATATTGCTAAATAGTTCGATGATAACCTTCTTCAGATGTTACAGTCACTGATGTTTGTTAGGGCTGAGGATCCTGGGGAAAAGTCTTGAATTCACTCCACTATTGGGTTTGATTATTGATAGGATGCATAGGCTGACATGGCCCAGGCAGAGACCCACCTGCAGAGATTGTGGGAACCCCAAGAGAAAATTCCCTGTAAGAGAAGGACCAGTCTGACAGGGCAAGCCCCTCTTCTCAAGAGGATAGAATGTTGGAGTCAAAATGAAGGTCCCGGTATGTCCTGAGCCTGTAGGTGTGAACTGAAAGCTGTGTTGATAGATGCTATAACACTGGAGTTCAAAAAGTTCTGCTGTGGAACAGCCCTGGTCATCCGTACGCAAAAGGAACACTCTCACCTCATAGCCCTGTGGAGTCCTGGAATGGCAGCTCCTCTGGCCAACCAATTTAGGGCATGGTGACAAGAGTGGTCCCCCCTCTTGGGGTGTATCTGTGGAATAATCAAGCCTGAAGCTGCAAAAGCTTGGCCTGAGCGGCCATAGCAACCCATTTAGGATCATGTGCACCCTTAGGATTCCTAGAACATTTGAGGAGGAAGGATTTTCCTTGAGGTAGGACTCCCTACATTTGCATAGATGAGCACTCAAAGCCATTGAGATTCAGATATTAATATGAAACTTCATTTGCACTCATGGCTGATTAAGGCTTGGAAAGTTTTCCTTTCTGCTACAGGATTTTTGAGACACCCAAGAAAGTAACCAACTAGTATAGCTTGTATCTTCATTAAGGACTGGTTGAACCCCACGTGGTCCATGGTCTGTACTCCACAACCCCCATAGCCACTCTGGTCTCACGTCATGCCACTCTTCCCTTCACTCACTCCACTCAGGGGCCCACTGGCCATGTGCACCCAGCTGTTCTCAGTCTGGATCACATTTTCCTGCTCTGTCTCCTCAAATATCCACCAACCTTGCTCTCTCACTTCGTCTGGTCTCTGTTCAAATGTCACCTTATTGGTGACACATTGCCTCTTTCTTATATGAGAAAGCAACACCTGCCCCTCACTTTATTTTTCCCTGAAGCACTTTGCACCATCTAACTTACTATATATTTACTTGTTTGTTATTGAGCGTACCTTCCTCATTAGAATGGGAGCTCCATGAGGGCAGGAACTCCATCCGTTTTATTTATTGATGTATCCCCAGCAACCAGAACCATGTCACATAGTACATACTCTGTAAACTTGGTGCATGAATGGCCCCTACTACCTCTGTTCTTCATTCATTAATCAATTCATTCAACAAACACTGAGCCCTATAGGTGCTGGATATGCTGGATAACAGAGGACCAAAGATGAACAAGCTAGCTTCTGTCCTTAATTAGGTCACAATGTGAGGAGGGACACAGAAAAGCAAACTTAACTAGAAATGCATTGTAGTGGGTTTATTGGGGGTGCAACTGGAGAGGATCAAGAAAAACTTCATGAAGGAGGCATGTTGAGTTGACTGCTGAGGGCGAGGATGATGGTGAACATTTATTGAGTGCTTACTGTGTGCCATCTCTCCACTAAGCAATGAATATAGTATCATTTAAGGCTGTTAACAGTTTTATGACATAAATGCTGATATTACCTTTATCTTAGGGATGCAGAAACAGGCTCAGAAAGGACCAAGGTCACAGAGCTAGTACTTGGAGCTGAGGTTCAAACTTGGCTTTTTCTGGTTCCAGATTTCAAGCTTTAACTATGTGCTGGGCAGACAAGCGGGGAAGACATTGTGAACAGAAGAAACACTATATCCCAAGGACTGAAGCTCTACCATGTGTATTCAGGTAACTGCAGAGATTCCAGGAAGTGTGAAAAGAGATGAGGTAAGATATATGACACTTAGAAGGTGGCCTTAGAGGACACAGGTGTTCATACCTGTGCCTGATTCCTTTCTCTTTCTTCCTTCCAGAGTAGCTTCCTTTTGCTCCTATGTTGGGCTTCTGAATATGCTTTGATCTGAAGGAAAAATTTCATGATTGAAGGGGGGGGGGTCAACTATGTGGTTGTAGTATCCCTGATGGGAGATGGAGTTCTTGAGTAGGATAGTAACTTTGAGAATGAAGGGGAGACAACAGATAGGAAGATCTTCGGAGAGAGAACTGCTAGAGCTTGTTCCTCATTTGCTGCCAGAGTCAGAGAAGGAAGAGCCTGGGTGAATGGGAGGATAGGGTACCATTAATGAGGACAGAGCATCTAGGGGAAAGCCCCATGGGAGTGGTGAAGATGAAGAGTGAAGGTGGTCTGAAGTACCTGTGGCTCCCTGAGCAAGGGAGATGCCCCGTGCTGGTCTGGATGCATATGGCTGGAGTTCTGAATGGAGTCACAGAGCTGACAGACATCAGCTACTAAGTATTTCTTTAAATTGCTGCCAAGAAAGATAAGCACTAGACTTGGGGTGGAACTTCTGGGAATGCCAGATGTGAATGCTAGGAATCTTCTCGGTATTGACATCTTTGGATGGGTATTATGTTGTTTTCAGATCATTTGTTGTGACATCATCAGACACATATGTCTAAACCATTCAGGGAAGTTTTTGACATTTTCTTAGCTTAAAAAAAAGTATTTGAGAACATGAGGTCTCTTTGCACCATTTTCTTCTGTAGATGTCTGAGCAAAATGGCCGGTTGGAAGCACGTTCACTCAACCCAGCTGTTTTTTCCCAGTGGCTTCCACAGCCCCATCTGGAGTCACAGCCACAATGATCGCCCTCATCCATGAAATGGAATCAGAAGCTTGATGGAGACCCATTTCAGCCCAGCCTTTCCTCCAGCTCACAGTACTCACTAAGTGTCCAGGTGAAACACAGCCAGGCCTCCTGACCATTACCCCTGCAGGAGCCCTTCACTCCAGAATGGTAGCTAGGACAGAGCACACTGGTGGTGAGGGTCTTGGTTGCAGACCTTTGCCAAGTGCCCAGGTGCACAAAGGGCAAATCTACATGTGGGAGGATCCAGGGAATAGGGCTGAGGTAAGATGGAGAGCTCCAGCTACTCACTACCTTTATTCTCCCCTCCTTGGGCAGCACTGTCCCAAGTTCTGGTTGGGAAGGCAGAGGGGAAGAATGAATTTTACCTCAAACCACATCCCAGCTCAGGTAGCGCAGGGCCATGGTATTATTGGTGTGGGGAGGGGGTTACTCTTCATGGTGGTATTCTTTTCATCTGCTCACTCAGGGACATATTGAGATCACTTACAGTGGCAGAATGGGAATGAGAATGGAAGTGGCAAAAGAGGGTGCTTTGGGGTCACGTGATCCCAAGTCCTGTTCCCCTTCTGCCACCCATGGACTATGTGGTCTAGGGCAAAAGTCACTTCAACTCACTAAACCTTGGTTTCCTCCTCCTTGAAGGCATTGATGCCCACTGCACAGAGAGGTCATGGGGATAGAAGTGCTCAGAAGGATGCCCAGCACATAGTAGGTAGCTTAGTAGGTGAGGCTACTTCATTGTGATTATTTTTCGGTTTCCTATGTGTTTTCAATCTCACTGCTTAATTTAGCATTGGATTTGGTGATATGTGGCTTTATATTTCCTTTACCTCACCTAGGAACAGTATAAGGATTACATGCTCAGACTGCAGAGTTTGCCCAGGCCTAGCCTCAAATCCTGGCTCCTCCAGCACACTTTTTGACTTCGCGTAAGTAACTTTACTGATTAGTCCCTGTGGGGATAACGATGGCGCCTCTACTCCCCTTAGAGAGCAGTTGTTAGAAGGAAATAAGATCATGCATGGGAACTGCTTGGTACACAGTAGACACTCAAGTATTGGTATCTGTCTTGTGAATATAGCCACTCTGAGAAGGCATATACTTATTCCAAAATTGAGCACTTGCCATTGTTCAAAATATTTAGCAAATCTTGACATTATCTTCAGAGTCCTTTGAATGCCTATACTGGTGAGAAACTTTTAAGAAAGAGCAGGTTTGGGGGAAGATTGATAAAATATTCAAAGGCAAATCTGCTGGTTGACATGGCTGGTGGATTAAGATAATTATCCTTACAGTAAAAAACATTGTGTTTCTCGTATCCCGTGCCAATGCATCCAGGAGAGGCCTTCCAGCAGTGTGGGGAGCAGCTCACACAGCCTGCAGAGCCACGACTTGGTTCCTTACCCACTTGCTCCTGCGTGGTTTTCACATTATTACCGTTTTTTTAATTGGAAAGCGAAACCTGCCCATGGTTAAAAAAGAAACATTTCAAAGGGTAGGAGTGAAAAATCTCCCTACCACACAGAGGCAGTCTACAGTTTCCACTGTCTTCGGTGAGTGTATGTGGCTGTATACGGTCCCTTTCAGAACAGCAAATGGGGGCCCAGCAGGCCCACTGATCTGTACCTTTTCCTTCCCACTCACGAAGCTCTCCTGAGGGCATGACTTTCAAGGACTGCCCTCTACACAGAGGCACCAACTATTGAAGGAATGCCCAGGGAAGGCCTTTGGGGCTCCCTAGATACTTAAATAGCACCAGGGCATGTGACTGCCCCTGCTCCCTACTCTGAAATTCCCATTTGTCCACTCTCCCACTTTAAATCATTTTCCGTTCACTTCTATAGCCGGCACTAATAGTTGGATGTCTTTTGGAGGAAGAGAGAGAGAGGGAGGAGAGGAAGAGGAGAAAGAGAAAAGAAATGGAGTGGGGAGACAAGAGAGGAAAGGGGAGGGGAGGGGAGGGTCTTTTACTCATGGCTCTCTAGTGGTTATGGATTGAACTGTGTTCCCTCCAAATGCAGACGTTGATGTTCTAACCCCCAGTACCCCAGAATGTGATCTTATTTGGAAATAGGGTCATTGATGATGTAATTAGTTAAGTTAGGATTAGGTCACACTAAAGTAGGGCAGATCTCTAGTATGACTGGTGTACTCACAAAAAGGGGAAATTGGGAAACAGACACACACACAGGGAGAACACCTTGTGAAGGTGAAGACAAAGATCAAGGTCATGTTTCTATAAGCCAAGGACACCAAAGCTTGCCAGCAAAGCATCAGAAACTAGGAGAGAAGCATGAACAGAACCAACCCTGCTGACACCTTGATCTTGGATTTCCAGCCTCCAGAACTGTGAGACAAATGTCCATTGTTAAAGCTCCCCAGTTTGTGGCACTTTGTTAGGGCAGCCCTAGCTGACTAATGCTCTGGTAAAAGACAAACTGCTAGCACTCAAACCCCCCACGTCAGAAAGGAGGCCCAAGATTTAGCAGGAATGTTTGGATGCTGGTGCCGATGTCTTCCTCACCTCCAGTATTTGCTGGTCCCCATCTATTGAGTCCCCATAAGTTTTCCACTTCCCACTGGGGACCTGAGCAATAGTAACAGGTGCTAGATAAACTGAAGGCAAGACGTAAAACTGGAGGGTTCAGCCACCCCAAAATTTGCTTCCTGGAATCTCTGAACCAAACGGACCAGTAAGCGCTTACCCAGGGTCTTTTTGTGCCATCAGCTCCCAGACTCAGCCTAAAGTGCTCACCCTGGAGAGGCAACATGGGCGGCATTCTGGGGGCTTAGCAGAATGGAAGCCCACACTGGAGCAGAGCCGGTTACTGATGGAGTGAGATTCTTATGATCTGAAAAATGGAGAAAAGCTCTCTGCAAAACTGAAGCTGCAAAGTTATGAAGATGGAAATGTTATCCACAGGAGCAAGCCTAACCTGGCCCTGTGGAGTGTCACAACTCTGTGAGGGAATGGCCACATACCCTGCCACTAGGTTAACTTTCCAAAGTCCCCAGCAGCGTCTCATCCCTTGCCCAGTGGGGATTAGAGGTAGGGTGGCCAGCACTCACAAAATGAGAAAATCAAAGGTCCCTTTAGCAATGGCGTGAGCACAGGGCTTAAAGGAGCCAAACAGTGGGCAGCCTCAGCCTATGGCCCATATTCAGATACTCCAATTTCTGTATGGGGGATAGACCAAAGCGTCCAATGGTCTGAGCTGAGTATAATACTTCTAGAAATAGCATATGCCCTTGACAAACACTTTCCTAAGATTTATATTTTTACCACTCCTGGTTGGGGGTTAATGGGCTAACTATTTAATCAGAACTTCAGCAAAATGTGGGATGAAGACCTGACATGAACCAACCCTGTGACTGTCCTTGGCCTGTGTCCACTCATCATCCAGCATTTAGCTAAGCAGACCACCTACCACCATCTGGGGAGAAAGGCACTGCCGTCCGCCACCCACGTACTTTGCTCCACTAAAGGCACTGAGGAACAAGTCTGGATCTGCAACGGACACCTGTGGGTTTGAACTCGTCATCCCAGACTGGGCAACACGATTTGGACAATACCCAGAAGACAGATTCCTCTACTGCTGGGTGCAGATGACTGCTGACTTCAACCCCTACTCTGTTGCTGTGTCCTTTCCTTACCTAAGTTCCTGTCCTTGCCAGTGTCGACTCCACGGCCACCAGTGTATCAACACATAGTCCTAACTTATTGGCTGCTGAAGGCAGTGGGATCTATACACTTAACACAACTTGCTACGTGTTTTAAAGATAGCCAGGGACATGCAATAAAGGGCCATGTCCCTTTAATGACAGTTTACAGATTAAACAAATTGAACAAATCAGAATTTTCTAACTTACTCTCCTGACAGACTGGCTGCAAATGGGCTTTGAAATCCTTGTTTTTACTCTCATAGGATTCTGGGGCTTTAAAATGCTTTATCATGGGCAAAAACTGAGGCATAATGCATTTACATATAACTAAAATTTTAAAGCAACATGGGCCCAAGGGATGGATTATTACATTATGAGCCAAAGATAACCTCTTGTAGATTGGCCCTGTGTTGTCTAGCTTATTAATAGCAGCCTGTGACCCGTTAGCTCAAAAGCATGTGGATGCCAAACTCAGATTTTACTCTTGCAAGAGTTTTGAACATAGCTCAAATAAGCAGATTTTTAGCCATTCGCAGGCTATCTGCTTTGTATACCCCAGGAAACTACACCTAACATCTGCTAGTCATAGATAAAATAAACCCAGTAGCTATAAAAGACTGCCCTTCAGAGCACCATGTTCTAGAGACTCTCAGTGTTGCTACTGAGTGACATCATCTAAACCCACAAGCATGCTCTCTGCTCTTCCTCTTCTCCTTCTGGCTGGACTGTTTCATCCTGTGAAGGACTTCCCTCATCATGCCAACCTGTCCAGGTGTTAGCCAAATAAAGTTCACTATGTGCTACTGCCACCTGGTGGTCATATCTTTTTCTGTGCTCAACCCCCAAATTCCTCCAACTCGTGGTCTAGACAGTTACCAGGTTTATGGATCTTTTCAAATACCAGTTTGGGGTTTTATTATTTTTCTCTGTTGTTTTTCTGTTTTCTATTTAATTGGCTTCTGTTGTAATCTTTATTATTTCCTTATTCTTCTTAATTTGTATTTCATTTATCCTTCTTTAGTTTCCTAAGGTAGAACAGCAATCATAGATTTGGGATCTTTCTTCTTTTCCAATAGAGGTGTTTAGTGTTATAAAAATTTCCCTCTAAACACTGTTTCAGCTGCATCCCACAAATTTTGATATATTGTGTTTTCATTTTCATTCAAGTCAAAATACTTTCTCATTTCCTTTTGAATTAATTTATTTGACTCACATGTTATTTAGAAGTGTGGTATTTAGTTTCCAATATTTGGGAATTTTCCACATTTTTGTCATTTACTTATAATTTAACGCCATTGTAGTCAGAGAACATACTTAGTATGGTATGAATAACTTTACAGTTTTGAGTTGTTTAATGGCATAGAATAGGATCTACTAAGGTAAGCATTTTTTGTGTACTTGAATACAATGTGTATTTGCTGTGGTTGGAGGAGTGTTCCACAAATGTCAACTAGGTCAAGTAGGTTGGTAGTGTTGTTCTAGTTTTGTATATCTACTGATTTTTATTCTACTTGTTCTGTCAAATATTGAGAGGGGTATTGAAATCTCTGACTATAATTGTGGATGTGTTTATTTCTTTCTATTACATAAATTTTTGCTTCATGTATTTTGAAGCTCTATTATTAGGTGCATTAATGTTTAGGATTATTATGTCATCTTGACAAATTGGCTTTTCTCTTTGTCATTATGAAGTTGTCCTTCTTATCCCTGGTTATATTCTTTGCTTTGAAATCTACTTTGTCTGTTATTAATATAGTCACCCAATTTTCTTTTGATAATATTATTGTGGTGTGTATTTTTCCATTCTTTTACTTTTACCCTATTTGTTTCTTTGTGTTTAATTTTTTTAAATTTATTTATTTGAGAGAGAGTGAAAGCAAGAGAGATCACAGAAGGAGAGGGAGAAGCAGACTCATCGCTGAGTGGAGAGCCCAACGAGGGGTTCGATCCCAGGATTCTAGGATCATGACCTGAGCTGAAGGCAGACGCTTAACTGACTGAGCCACCCAGACGCCCCAGGTTTTTTTGTGTGTTTAAAGTAGGCCTCTTGTAGGCAATTTGAGCCTTACTTTTCATCCAATCTGACAATCTCTACCCTTTTCATTTGAATATTTAGACCTTCACATTTAATGTGATAGTTGATGTGATAAGATTTAAATCTACCATAGTGCTATTTATTTTCTAGCTATTTATCTCATCTATTCTTTTTCCTCTTTTTGGGTGTGTGGGGGACACTTGTTTTAGATTAATTGAATATAGTTTTATAATTCCACATTATCTTCTTTGTTGATTTATTAGCTATAACCCTTTTGAGGCACTTCTTTAGGATTTAGAGTATAGATTCCTAATTTATGTCAGTTTGCTGACACATGGCACTCTAACAGTATACGTCTTTTTCTCTTCCCCCAGCCTTTGTGCTATTGTTATACATTTTATTTTTACATGTTCTTAATTCCATGTATTAGTTTGGTAAGACTGCCATAACAAAGTACTTCAAGCTGAGTTACTTAAACCATAGAAATTTATCATATCACAGTTCTGGAAGCTGGAAGTCCAAGATCGAAGTGTGGACAGGGCCATATACCCTCTGAAGGTGCTAGGGAAGGATCTGGTCCAGGACTCTTTCCCAGTTTATGGTAGCTCCTTTGCTGTGGCAGCATAACTCAGTCTTCACATGTCATTCTTCCTGTGTGCATTTCTTTGTCTAAATTTCCCCTTTTTTGGGTGGCTTAGTTGGTTAAGTGTCTGCCTTTGGCTCAGGTCATGATCCCCGAGTCCAGGGATTGAGCCCCAGGTTGGGCTCCCTGCTCAACTGGGAGCCTGCTTCTCCCTCTCTCTCTGCTCCTCCCCTGCTCGTGCTCTCTCTCTTGCTCACTCTCTCAAATAAAATCTTTAAAAAATAAATAAATAAATAAATTTCCCCTTTTTATAAGGATGCCAGTTATATTGGATTAGAGACCCACCCTACTCCATCCAGTTAAGACCTCATCCTAACTTAACTAATTACTTCAGCAATGATCCTGTTTCCAGATAAGGTTACCTCTGGAGGTACTGGGGATTAGTACTTCAACATATGAATTTTTTTTTTAAGATTTTATTTATTTATTTGACAGAGAGACACAGCCAGAGAGGGAACACAAGCAGTGGGAGTGGGAGAAGCAGGTTTCCTGCCGAGCAGGGAGCCCGATGTGGGGCTCGATCCCAGGACCCTGGGATCATGACCTGAGCCGAAGGCAGACGCTTAACAACTGAGCCACCCAGGTGCCCCAACATATGAATTTTGAAGAACATAATTCTCAACCCATAATAGCACACAATATATTATTATTATACTGCTTTAAACAACTCATTATTTTTTAAAGAAACTTCAAAATAAGAAATAAAATCTTTTATACTTGCAAGTATCAGCACTTCACCTTTTTTTTTTTTTCATTTTTTTTTTTATTCTTATGTTAATCCCCATACATTACATCATTAGTTCTAGATGAAGTGTTCCATGATTCATTGTTCGTGCACAACACCCAGTGCTCCATGCAGAACGTGCCCTCGAGCACTTCACCTTTTTAATTGCCAAATAAATACTCTATTAAATGGCTGTATCACATTTTATTTATTTAAGAGTATATGGATATTTGGGTTGTTTCCACTTTTGAGCTAATTTGAATAATGTTATTATGAATATTTGTGTACAAGTTATTATGTACAAGGACATGTATTTTTATGTCTCTTGGATAGATATGTAAGAGTAGAATTTCTGGCTCATATAATTTAACTACTGAGGAACTTTTTTCTTTTTTCTTTTTTTTTTAAAGATTTTATTTATTTATTTGAGAGAGAGAGAATGAGAGAGAGCACATGAGAGGGGGGAGGGTCAGAGGGAGAAGCAGACTCCCTGCTGAGCAGGGAGCCCGATGTGGGACTCGATCCCGGGACTCCAGGATCATGACCTGAACCGAAGGCAGTCGCTTAACCAACTGAGCCACCCAGGCGCCCGAGGAACTTTTTTCTACAGTGGCTGTATAATTTCACATTCCCACCAACAATGTATGAGGGCTTCAGTTTTTCCATATCCTTGCCAACAGTTGTTACTATCTTCTTAATGCTTTTGATTTGCATTTTCCTGATAGCTAATACTATTTGAGACTTATTGACCATTTGTATATCTTCTTTGGAGAAATGTCTATTCAGATAATTTGCACATTTTTAATTGGGTTTTTTGTCTTTTTATGGAGTTATAAAAGTTCTTTATATGCTCTAGATATCAGTTGCTTATCAGATATATGATTTGCCAAAATGTTCTCCCATTCTATGAGTTATCATTTCACTTTGAAGCATAAAAGGTTTTAATTTTAATGGAATTCAGTTTATTTTTTCTTTTGTTTCTCGTGCTTTTGGTGTCATTTTGCTTTATGCGCAGCACAATATTGGGTTTTACTTTGTGATCTAATCTGAATTTTTTTCTCTTAATTGATGAATTAAATTCACTTACCTTTATTGATTTGACAGATATTTTTTGTTTTTTTATTGTAATTCTTTTGATACT